CGCATTGCGTTACCAAAAAGTCTTTGGAGAATTTCCGAAGAGATGTGTTGATACAACACAGCATTCTGATTGGTTAATAACAGCCTTGACCCATTAGGTCAAAGGACGTTGTCAAATCATGAATACATCATGACGGAAAGTGCTTTTCATCGAGAGTTTGTGTACGATCCACATTTGTCTGTGCAGATAATGATGAAGATTTTGACTTCAACTGTGTTCTAACAGACTCTAATATTTTTAACCTCGTAAATTTGGGTATTATGTAATTAATATTGTAATAAATTGTGCATATTTTTTGTGACCATTTCTGTTTCTTTATTGTAAAAGTCAATGACGACGCAACTAATTGTGTGATTTTATTTTTCCTCAAAGACGTAATATCTGTCATTTGCACTCTTTTCCGAAGGGTAAGCGCCCATTCCTAAAAAATTGCAATTTTCCAAGTTGAGGACCCTGAGTGCTAATGCGGTCCAGTACATGTACCTCCAGTGCAAGAGGCTGGTCATATCTGTTGATGACTGTTTACGTTCCCATCTTTGTGTTCCACTGATCTGCCTGTACATGTGTGGAAGAATGAATGTGACATGGGAGAGAAAGGAACACTATTTTAAAGGGACAATAACTAGTGATAAAATCTTGATAGCCATTTGCATCTAAGGTTGTCTATTTGGACAAACAGAAAATAAACTCAGTAATAGGTGATGTATACATGTATCTTGAAGGAGCTTCTGATTTCACAAAACTCATTGAATTTTACTTCTTACTTGAAGCATAAACTTTTTCACCACCAGTTCCCTCTTGTCATCACAAATTCACAAAATAATCCCATTTATTACATATGTACTGCAGTTTATTTTGATTCATCCCTGAAATCAAAATCGGTATTTCCACAACCCATATGCAAATGAGGTCTGAGAGCAAACAAAGTAGTCCCTTCAGGAGTACAGTTTTTCGAAATAAATAATATTTAGAAGTACGATATTTTCCCCTTTGGGTACATGAATATACTTGCCGAGTGAAATGAAATTTGAACAACAGTAATGGTACTTTTAGGCAGTCACATATTTTGACCCAAACTAATTTGCATATCACCCATGCAATAATGTTTTCGGTATTTTCACGGTCGATATGCAAATGAACATGGTATTTTCATTGGCTACCGAACTATTTTTATTTTGTAAACACATTTTCGTCTGCTATTTTTATCCAGTTCAAATCGTTCAACAACATTTTTGGCATGTCAGGTGTACATCACATGGAATACTACGATTGGGAGAACTTAATGTATGTTGACCACCTGGGAACCGAGTTTTATAAACCTTGAAGGGCGGCTCTCAGAAGATCT